GTATATAGCTGGCAAAATAAATTTTAAAAAATATGTATTATGTGCTTCTGTTTTTTTAATTCAGGAGATTATAAAAAAATCCTTTATTTTATGGGAAGACCTTCTTGATTCAAGAGAAAACGCTGTTTTTTAAAAATGGCTGCTTATTAATTGTTAATCAATCTATAAAAAAAATCCTTTATTTTATGGGAAGACCCTCTTGATTCAAGAGAAAACTCTGTTTTTTTTAAATGGCTGCTTATTAATTAATTGTTAATCAATCCATAAGATAAATCAACTTCAGATTAATTCATTATCAATAACTTGCATCCTTAAGAAGTTAACTTCATTTATATCTACTCTTATTAATGTAATTAAGCGTTTTAATGATTTGGCCGATTAATCTTAAAAATAATCAACAGATTAATCGATTATTAAAATAATCGTTAGTTGCAGCCCTAGCCACCACTGAAGGAGACAGAGTTTGTCATCCCTTTGAGAATGCTCAAAAGAATTCATAATTATTTTAAAAATATGTATAAAGCAGATAAATTTTGTTCAAACAATATTATGTTGATGAAGCTTGAGACTTTAATTATTGCTGTGCTCTTTGCTTACGTTGTTTTGTTATTACAGGTAGCCAGATGACTCTTGGAGGTGGTACAATGGGTGTGGCCTCTTCAGAACAGACAAACTTGCACACAGACTCCCTTTCAAACACGCTCAACACTAACAAGTCAGTCCCTACCTCGTACATCTACCTAATTTTTTTCCCTGAGTATAAATGTAAAGTTGATTTTGAACTAGTATGTCAAAAAAACAGTGAGTAATTCTAATCATTCAATCCTGCTTCGCTCTAGTCCGCTGCTGTCAGACGGTTCAGCTGTGGGATCAATGGGTAACCTGCCCTCAGCAGCACCCGTCTCTGCCACAGGCTCCAGGAAAGCCTGGCATGAGCATGTCACTCAGGACCTGCGCAATCACCTCGTACACAAGCTGTAAGTGGACTCATCAGTCTGGCTAATGACAGGAACAATGGGCCTCATGCAAGAACATGTTCATATTCTTCTCCTAAATTTCTCTTACTTTTGTTCGTACAAAGGGTTCATAC